GCGCCTCCCATCTCCGCCACGCCCCTTGGTGGATGTCTGCAGGACCCCGGAGCAGGCGCACCTGCCTCTCCTGCAGTCTTGTAACCCATCAATCCCGCGATCGAGAGAGGAGGGCAACCGGAGGAGCACCCAGAAGAGGAATTCACCACCTGCTGGGCAGAGACAGACACTTGGGGGTTATTTTGTACTTTGGGCCTGGGAGGGGGGTAGGAAGGGCAGATAAAGCGCCCCCCCAAAAAAAACAGCAAGGAAAAGTGGGTGTTAGCCAAAGACTAGACTTTTTTTTTTTTAATGTCCACGTTTGGATATATCATGCATTTCTTGCACACATTTACAACCAAAAAAAAAAAAAGCATCAAGATAGGACCACAGTGTCAGTGTCCCTTTCAAAAGATGTCTAAAACAGACAAAATGATCTTGGAGGGAGGCAAAAGCCACTAAGGTGTGAATCTAAACAAAGAAACAGTTTAACACATTACGGGTCAAAGTGTCATCTGGTGGATAAATCTACATTTTTTAGGCGCTATTTTCGTTGAGAGGGAAATAATATGAATTGTTGATGCAGGCACGTTTCAAACCACGAGGACACTCGAGATTTAGCTATTTTAAAACTTTATTTGGTTTTATTTAGATTTGCGTGTGCGTGTGTGTGGCTGTGTCTATGTCTGTTTCTGTCTCTTCTCTTTCCTGTTGTATCTCTCAAAAGGGTCCTGTTTCATTGGATTTTTTTTTCTTTCAGGATCCGCCTTTCTTTTTGCCTCTTTCCCCATAGGCCCTCGATATGAGGCAGAGATTGTTTTTGCTTTGACTGGTCTTAAATACTTTTCACTTAAAAACTGGCACCTGACCCTGCAGTAACAGGTGTGAGTCTTTGAGGAATCTGTTTTATTTCAAGCTTCAGAAATCACCCTGTGAATGGCAGCTTTGGCACAATTTCTCCGTATGAAAGAGTCTTCCCCCACACCCTCCCACCTCACCCCCTGTGTGCTGGAGGTGTGTCTGTTTAATTGTCTGCAATTTGAAATTAGATCAGAGCAGAACTGGGCTGCAAAGGTGTTTTTATCCTTGCGTTTCTGCAGGCATAAAAGAGATTGGAGAAAGTTGTTGAGTGATTTTCTCTCTCCCCCCCAATAACAAAGAGAAATTTATGTTTGATCTCAAGTATCTTCGTTTTGATTTTTTTTTTGTTGTTGTTGTTAGGTGGCCCCGGCAAATAGTGTCCTCCATTGGCCTATGTCGATATGGAGGGAGGATTGACTGCTGCTGGGGCTGGGCCCGCCAGTCCTGGGGACATTGTCAACGTGAGTATCTGAGGAGTTCAGATCCCCCAGGGGGAGGTGGGACTTGCCACAGTGACCCACAGTGGACCTGGTATGCAGCGACGCAGCAGAGAACCCATCATGACTGAGCAAAAACTTGGCTGGATAGAGCTGACCGGGGTTTTCAGATGCAGTGCCCAAGCCCTTAGTTGGTTCCTTTCTACCATGAGCCACCTGGGTTGAGGTGTCAGCGTTGACACACATGGAGAGCCACCTGGACTGCTGTTCATTGATGCATTTCTCCTCTTATCTCTAACTCCTGTGTTCTGTAAGGCTTACTTTATGCCAGGCTGTGAGATGGAGTTGAGATAATGAGTCTAGACTATATTTACACTAAATAAGCAGAGAACTTTACTTATTTTTTTTTAAATTTAATCGTCATTATAAAGGTGATGTACAGAGGAGTTTCAGTTATATAAGTCAGGTAATGAGTCTATTTCCTTTTGGACAATATCCCCCCTTCCCTTGTTCTCTGTTTTTCCCTCCCATTCCCACCCATAAGTTGTATAGTTCATTTTCAACATAGGTGAACTTTACTTATAAAATCCTCATTCTAACTCATGTAAAGTGTTCCATTTGTGAATATTTTTATGAAAAAGATTATATTTCCAGTGTTTTATGTAGACCACACAAGATAATCAGAGAAAAAAATCTCTGGAAAAAAACATCATTTGCAAGCTTTGTAATTAATCAAAACCATGTACTCAGTGCCCTGGCTTTTTTTTCCCCCTTATCAAGATGGATATGTTAATGCTAAAATTTATAGTCATATTATAAATATTTGAGAAATTAGGAAGTTCGTTCCCAAATCTGACCTGGATCTCAAATTGTATCCCTTTTTTAAAAAAATTATTTTACTGTCAAGGTTATGTACAGAAGGGTTACAGTTATGTATATGGTGTGAGTACATTTCCCTTGTTTTTTTCTCCCACTTCCCTTGTTCCTTTTTGAAAAAATAAAGACTCCAAATGATCGAATTTCCAAGGCATCATTAGATCGAACACTTCTGGTGAGATGAGGCAAGGAGGGAGGTCTGCGGAATAGAGAAGTGGACTTAAGGACGCTAGAACTAGTGGTGAAGGAACCTGCCTTAGACATGAATGGACGATGTTTGATGCTCAAGAAAGATGTTTCCTCCGCTACTTTTGCTTTTGAGAATTTATCCTTCCCTTTGTGAAGTGGAGAGAGTAGCACCCATGCTGTTGTCTCTGGTTGGGGATGGGAGGTGAAAAGGTGAAGCTGGCTGTTGTGTTCTTCATGTAGGTCTCTAGACTAAACCCTTTAACTAGGTGCGCCCCTCCTGCTGCTAAAGAGAATGTGGTAACTCCCATTTCCAGTAAGTGGAAGAACTAGGCAATGCTGTTGTACTCCTACTGGTTAGTCTATTATTTTTAAGTGGAGATGGTCCAGAGTAGGTAGTTTCTTGTGGAATGTAGCCTTCTGCCGTTTAAATCACAGTGTCAGAAGTCTTTGTAGCTAAAGGCTAACAGGTGTGAAATTTGATGAACCACCAGGCTGTATTAACCAAGCAGTGAGGAATGGATCCTTCTCTTGGCTTATCCTTCTCAGATGAAAAAGATAAAGGGTGTCTCTTTGTAGGTAAGGAGTTAATTTCCTCCTTACTTGCTCCTGTAATTTGCAGGCAACTCACAAATCTAATGCTGTAATGCTTTGAGGTCTATACAAGTCTCCTAGCCCCACCCAGGACAAGGCTTCATTGGCAAAAGGCCCTGGGAGCCATGGTGAGTACATCTTCCCTTGAAGGCAGAGATTAGGGGCACAGGGGCTGTCTGCCAGGTATGCTAAAAGAATTCCAAAGAGAAATCTCCTCAGATGAGTGGTTCATCAACTGTGGAATTCCCCAGGAAACACTTCTCAGAGCTGTTGTCTATTTCCATACCATATAATGAGTCCCCCCACCCCACCCCAATATGTACTAGCTTGGCAATTCTGAATTTCAGTGAGTACAGGGACTTTTTTGTAGCTACAGTAGGCATTATAGAAATTTAATCATATAAGAGATTTTACTTTCTGTGTAGTAGCTTTCCTAACATATAGAATACTGTATTTTATGGCTTCATTTTGTTTCTAATAGAATGCAAAGAGATTAAATACAATATTGGATAGTATTTATCATTTCCATCTTGTTATTCTTCAGTAATCTGAGGAAACTGCCAAATGGAACAAGTTAATTATTGAAATGGTAACATTATAAAATATGTACAATGTCTGCCCAAGACTCAGCTTATCTTAGATTCAGTGAAGGTCTGAGAGCAAGCATAGTGGAGGGGCTAGATGGCTTGGTACTTAATTACAGTTTGACCTCTTGGCTGTCTGACCTAGAGCAAGTATTTCAATTTTTCTATGCTTTATTTTCCTCATTTCTAAACTCAACCTAAAATAGTACATTTCTCAAAGACCCTGCCACATTTTAAAAGAGTTAGAATTTATAGAACACTTGAGACTATTCTCAGTACTGAGTAAATACTACATACATATTTAGAAAAGTGAAAAAAAGTAAAGGAATACAGCTACCAAGACAGTATTGGAGGAAGGACAAATCTGTGCTATTATATTCTTTGTTCATTAGCTATGATAAGTGTACTTTTTGTATATTTACTGCCAAAATTAAAAATACTTCTCACATTCTCTATTTCAGTAAAATAAAATTCCTGGAAAGTTTTAAAAAGGGCCAAATGCTGCTTTAGCACTAATATTGAAGATGGCAAGAATGTAAAAATGAATTGAAAGATTCACAGGTTTTTCAGTGTGTTTCTCCAGAATCTTTATGGTCCAAATGTTTCTTGTCAGTTCAGTTCTGCCTGTCTTTCTTTGTTTTGATATAAACAGGTCGAGGAATGTGGGGCCAAGAGGTCAGCTCAGAGGGGTGAACAGCCCCCCAAAGAGGTGAATAGAATACATTGAACCTTCCTGATTATGTTTTGAAGAACGCTTTCATGAAATTACAAGTTTGTCACTACATCTATTCAAGGAAACTTTCCTTGCCATTCTATAATAATTAAATCTGAAATGGGCTACAAACAACAATTCCAGACAACTTTTAGGGAATGTAATATCAAACATAATTTTAGCTTTCTCACCCTTAAATAATCTCAAGAGTTCTCTTCTAAGAGGTCTGTTCTTCCTTATCAAAGATGTCCTTGGGTATCTTTTCTTCTGAATGACTCACTTTGGAATTTTCCTTCAAAAAAAAAAAAAAGAATGAAAGAAAGAAACCAGAGCAAAACAAAAGGAAGTGAATCTTGTCTGTAGCCAGATCCTCTGGGTCCATGCCTTAGAAAAGGGGGTGGTTGAAAGTGGTGCCTTCATTGTGCTCTTTAAGAGATTGTATGGCCCTTGGGCAGTGATACTTTGATGAGGGTCTATTCCATTTGGTTAAACACTTCTGAGCCATTTTGACTTACTAGTCATGTGAGTCAGATATACATTTGTACACAAAGCATACTGCATTTCATGTTTACTTGCTGGTCTCCTTTTCTTGGACTCCTTTGAAGAGACCTGCAGGGCCCTAGTGTCAAGAAACCTCCTTTCATGAGTCACTATGTTTAGCCCCAAAGGCCATATTCAGCTGAGGGACTTTCCAGCCATCCTTCTGGGACTAAGGAAGGAGGGATCAGAGATGCAACCCAAATGGGAATTAAGTCTGTTCTTCTGCTTCCTGCCTGTACCACTCAGCATTCTGTCCCCACATTCCAGCATTACTGGAAAAGTACAACCCATTCCAGAATTAGGTAGGTTGTATTTTCATACTTCTCGCATAGGTCATACCCTTGGCTTCTTTGTGCTCTTTGATTCTCTATTTTGTCTTCTTGATTCATCCATAAAGCTCTTGAATGCTGAAAATTTACATTTTGATTTTCTAATTGATTTTTCTAATTGTCTTGAGATTCACTTTAATCTTGAATATTACTATTATAATTATTAATGTAGACAATTAATATTATAATAGTAATATTTAATATTAATGTGGGTCTTTATTGCCAAATGAAATCTGTTCACAGATTCAGGGGTGCATCTTTACTATGCACAGTCCCTCAGTTACTTAGTTACTTAGTAATGGACACAAAGTATTCTATTCTTTAATTTTTCATCATCTTAATGAAACATTTTTATTCTATGAACATTTTCTCTCTTACCAATGAAGTACTAGAGATTTCTCAGTGTTTATACATTTCATTTAAAAAGGCTCTTGGTATACTATTGAAACAATTCTTAACTAAAAGAACCAGATAACTTGGGATTGCTGAGTTTATCCTTTGACATTTTCCCTGATTAGCTAGTTAACATGTTTTAGTGACACTATTATTTTACAAGCAGGTTTTAAAGACAGATTGTAGCTCTAAACTATATCAGAGAACTTCTTTAATGGAGAGAAGAATATATAAAATATATAGACACTATATTTACTGTATGGTTGTTTACTTCAAGATTTGGTTGTATGTGTGACTTATAACAATGGCATTTGTAAAATTGAAAGCATTCTCAAGAAATAGGAATAAAATCTCAGCTAGTTCAGGTTTCAGTAAAGCTATTCACCTTCTGAGTTCTTTGGCAGTGAGACATTTGTGGTTTCTTAAGGAAATGATATAAATTAAGATGGTTTTGTATCTTTTATCTGTAATACCAGGAAAACTGAAGGTGTTTTGTTATTTTTTTTGGAGATTTTGGAAAATATGAAACTTACAGCTACAGCCTGATTTTGCTTTTTTACTTCTGAATGTTATTTTCTGCTCTCTCTCTCTTCCCTGCAGGAAGTAACAGCTATGTACAGAGGCCATGTAAACTGTTAAGATTCTTTTTAAGTTTTAGATGAATTTATAGGTCAATGAAACAAAGAAACCATGAAATAATTATTCATTCTGAAGCTATTTTGGGAGTTGTTTAGTAATTTTAGTTGGATCATGTATATTGCTGGCTAATGGTTGCAGAGGTTGGAGTGATGAGAAAGTAATTGAATTCCT